CGGCTACACGGGGCACGAACTAGGTAGTTCGGACTAGGTTCCTATTCCGAACTACCGTTACTCCTCATGAAACAAGGTGTACCGGTAGTTCGGAATAGGCACCCTAGTCCGAACTACCTAGTTCGAGCCCCGTGTAGCCGCGCTGCACGGGGTTCGAAGCAGTGGGGATTTAAAAATGGCGGCTCCCCGCTTATGCTAATGAAGCCCGGGAAATTCAAATCCCGGGCTTCATTAGCAAGTGCGGTATGCATACATTACCCTCCTAGTTCGAACTAGGAGGGTAGTGTAGACATACCCAAGCATAGTTACAAGCTGGGGACCGACTGGCTAAGTAGCAGTTCTGCAGAAAAGGACCTGGGGATTACAGTGGATGAGAAGCTGGATATGAGTCAATAGTGTGCCCTTGTAGCCAAGAAGGCTAATGACATATTAGCTTGCATTAGGAGGAGCATTGCCAATAGATCCAGAAAAGTGTTTATTCCCCTTTATTCGGCTTTGTTAAGGCCACATCTGGAGTATTGTGTCCAGTTCTGGTCCCCCAACTACAGGAAGGATGTGAGCACATTGGAGAGGGTCCAGCGAAGGCTGACTGAAATGATTAGAGGGCTGGAGCACATGACCTATGAGGAATTTGGGTTTGTTTAGTCTGTAGAAGTGAAGAGTGAGGGGGGATATGAGAGCAGCCTTCAACTTCCTGAAGGGAGGTTCCAAAGAGGATGGAGAGAGGCTGTTCACAGTAGTGATGGATGGCAGCACAAGGAGCAATGGGCTCAAGTTGCAGTGGGAGAGGTCTCGGTTGGACATTAGGAAAAACTATTTGCCTAGGAGGGTGGTGAAGCACTGGAATGGGTTATCTACAGAAGTGGTGGAATCTCCATCCCTAGAGGTTTTTAAGTCTCGGCTTGACAAAGCCCTGGCCGAGTTGATTTAGTTGGGATTGGTCCTGCTTTGGGCAGGGGCCTGGACTTGATGACCTTCTGAGCTCTCTTCCAGTTCTATGATTTGTTCTTTACAAATCTTTGCAGGCTGTTTCCTATCACCTTATTATCTTACAAGTTTTGAAGATGATTTCCTTAATTACTTGCTCAATTTTCTTCCCTGGCACATGAGTTAAACTGACCGGTCTGTAGTTTCCTGGGTTGTTCTTATTCCCCTTTTTTTAGATGGTCACTAGATTTGCCCTTTTTCAGTCTTCTGGAATCTCTCCTGTCTCCCATGATTTTCCAAAGATGAGAGCTAAATTATTATATTGTTTGCTAGCTCTAACATTTATAATCAGTTTCAATTTAGATTAATATTGTAACTGTTTTGTGTGTTTGGCTCCCTATATATATCTTTTCAGTACCCAGAAATAAATAACTGTCATTGTTAAGCTGTAGTTTAGTCGCGGCTTTTTCGGTGAACTTTCCCCCTCCACCCTTTGTCGAAAAGCCACTCTTCCTCAGAAAATGAGGTTTATGAGGCTTTTCGACAAAGGGGGGTGGGGAGTTTGCCATGGCAGTATGCTGCAGGAGCCGGCTCCACCACGTTCGGCTGCTGGATGAATTTGAGAGGACTGCCCTCAATTTGGGAGGCCTGCCCTCAGCTGCCTGCCACTTGTTCTTCTCCATGTGGACAAGCTCCATCCTCTGGAACCCAGTGGCAAAGGTACAGGTCCATGCACCACAGTCATACCAGCCCTTCTGCTTCCCTTGGGCCCTGCCCAGAGTCTCTCTGGCCAGGCCCATGAGCTCAGCGAGTCTTCCCCAGAAAGCCAGGACATCCCTGACTCTCCATAATTCTCTCAGCAATCCCAGGGGTCTCTTCCCTATTCTGCACCATTGCTCAGTCAGGGAGAACCCAGTGGACCTTTGGGGCACCTCCCTGTGTGTGGACAGTAGGTGGGACAGGTACTAGTCCCAGTCCTGGGAGTGCTGGTGCATAAAGGTCTTTAGCATTGGCTTCAGGGTCCCCTGGAATCACCCCCTTGTCCCAATAGGCTGGGAGTGATATGCCGAGGCCTAACTGAGCTGGGCCCTGTGCTTCTCCCACAAGCACCGGAGCAGGGCTGACATGAAGTTGAACCCCACCGTGCTGAGAATGACCAGCAGTGCATCTGCCACCATGTCTGCCTCGAAAGAGGGCAGGGCCATGGCCTTGAGGTGCCACATAGTGAAATCCACCACCACCCGGATGTATTTCTTCCCTGTCCGGGTCACCTCACTGAGGGGTTCCACTAGACCCATCACAACCTTCTGGAAAGGCTTCTCTATGATGGGCAGGGGGTCTCAAAGCAGCTTTCTGCACAGCTGCAAACCCCCCCTGGCAATTCTGTAGCAGCCTCAGCCAGGTGCGCTGGATCCCCTGGTGCCCCGAGAATAGGATGTCATGGGCCAGGTGCAGCAGACTGGTAATACTTTTGCCCCCCGCCCCCACACACACTACTCCAGCTTCCCTGGGAGAAGCCATTCCTGGTACAGGAATCCCCTCTCCCACAGGAAACTCTCCCGGCAGCCTCCTCTCCAGAGTTCGAGCTGCACCGAGGCCATCCCAGTCCCTCAGCTTCTGCAAGGAAGGATCTGTCTGCACCTGGGCCTGGAATTCAACAGCTGGGAAAGGAATGGGGCCTGTTGCCCCTCACTGCCTGTGTCTGGGGTCCCAGCTCCATTAAGCCCGGCCCCCTGGGACTCCTTGTCTGCTTGGATGGGGTCCTGCACCCCCTGCAGGGTGCCTTCCCCAGGGCCAGGACCTCTGGCCATCTCTGTCTACGGGTAGCAATCAGAGCACTGTGGGGTTCTTCTGGCCAATCCTCAAATTCCCTGCCCATCAGCACCCGAGCAGGCAGGTGCGGGTGCACTCCCACTTCCTTGGGGCCTTCTTAGCCCCCATTTCAGATGCAGCAAGGCTACAGGCACTTTGAATGGGGTCCTGTCTATGCCCCTCAGGGACAGCTGGGTGTTGGGTACCATGTGGTCCGGGGCCACTAGCTCAGGCCCTGCCAGTGTCACTTCCACTCCAATGTGCCAGTAACCCATAAACTTCCTGCCATCACCTCCAGTGGCACAAGGCACTCGCTCCACAGGGGCCACCCTGCCCCCAACCAGTACCTGTTGAACCCTGCCGCTGGAGCCTCAGGTCTCCCAGAGGAGCAGGCCTGAGCAGCTTCCTCCCCCTCCTCCCCACTGTGATCTGAGGGCCGCTTGACAGCCCCTGCCCCTGGGGAGGCATTCCCCTCCTCCAGCCCCAGCCAGTTAACCCTGGAAAGTCTCAGGTTGTGGACCTGTCTGAGGGTTTGGGGCACTGAGCCCGTTTGTGACCCCTTTGCTCACATCGATGGCAGGTCAGGTCCCACAGGTTGCCTTGGACCAGCTGGTCTGCCCATGTACTGGCTGACTTCTAGGGGGAGGATTGCTGGTACCCCTGTTCTGGACCCTCCCCAGAGGCGCTTTCCCCAGTTACAAGCCAAGAACAGGGCTTTCTGGGATTCCCTTTCATACCCAGACCCGCTGTCCGTGAACTCATCATCCAGCTTCCCCACACCGTGTGGGTCCTCCGGCTTCCTGTCCTTCAGCCACAGCCTCAGGTCAGGTGAGTATGTTCCATAGAACCATTCCTGGACCATCAGCTTAGCCAAGTCCTCTGACGTCTGGGCCCCCGCCCCGAACACCCACTTGCAGAAGTATTGCATCAGGAGGGAGGCCACGTCTCCAGTCCCTTCTGTGCCCCCTGGAACTTTTTGCTGTATGCCTCAGAGGTCAGCTCAAACTTCTGCAGCAGGGCTTGTTTGACCCATTTATAGTCCCCCTGCTGCAGCCCCTCCAGCTGACCAAGCACCCCTGCAGCCTTCTGATCCAGCAAGGGGGCGAGTGGCTGGAGACAGTTGGCTGGAGGGACCTGGCAGGCTCGTTCGAAGGAATTAAGGAATCAATTCAGGTTCCCCACATACTTGCACTGGGACAGCACAAACCTTTCAAAGTGTCCTGCAGTCCCAGGCTTTCAGGCCCCTCCCCATTCACCACAGCCAGGCCCTCTCTCCTTCTCAGATCCACAATGGCCCGCTTGTGCTGCCCCTGTTCCCTACAGTCCTCATGCTCCTTCTTCTCTTCCTGCCACTCTTTCTCTTGTGCTTCCAATTCCTTTAGCCACAGCTCGATCTGCAGTTGTTGCAGATCTGCCAAGGGGGACCCTGCAGAGGATGAACCGCTGCTGTCTGAGCCTGGCCTGGTGGGCACTGTATCTCCCTGGTGGTCTCCTGCCCTCTCTGATCCCTGTGGAATCCGATTCTTATGTTCTTCCAGCATGAGTGAGAACCATTGATAACTACACCCTGGGAAAGGTTATCCAACTAGTTATGCCCCCACCTTTTAGTAGCTCCATCTACATTGTGTTTCCCTCGCCTGTTAATGAGAAGGTCATGCAGTAGTGTATCAAAAACTTTACTAAATTCTAGATATACCACATCTACCACTTCCCCACTATCCACAAGACTCGTTACCTTGACTAAGAAAGCTTTCAGGTAGGTTCAACATGGTATGTTCTTGATAGATCCATGTTATTACATATCACCATATTATCTTCTAAATGTTTGCAGATGGATTCCTTAATTGCTCCATTATCTTTCCTGGTACAAGATGTTAAGCTGCCTGGTCTGTAAGCTCCATTATCTTTTAAAATAAGCCCCTCTGCTTTCTCCCATGCTGCCCCAGACTGTTGAGAGGTGCTGCCTGTAAACACCCTGCAGCACCTCAAGATACTTGAGAGATGCTACTCACAAAATTGACTCGTTCTCCTCCCTCGGTCCCTCTTGACAACTCTCATTTACCTTGAGGCCTACAAAAAATGACAGGGTTGTACCCCTGGTGTCTGGCAACAAGTGCCTGTCCCCCTGGCCAGCTTCCCTCCTTATTTCCTCGTCCACCCCTCTCTGCTCAGATCCCTCAGTTGCCTCTTGTCCTATTCTTTGAGTGTCACCCCTTTGGGACAAGGCCTAGCTCAATGGTGTCTAGTCTGTGTCTGGGACTCTCTAGGCCCTGCAGTAAAACAATTGGAATCCCTCGTCCTTTAGCTCAGGGGGGTCCATTTTTAATAGCGTGATCACTCCGGCTTTTCTCCCTGTTCACAAAGTAAGTTACAGGGCAGTTTAAACACCTGCCAGATCAATCCCAGAGAAACAACACCCCATGGGCCTGCGCGCTGTTGGTGTCTGTACATGAAGGCTTCAGAGCCAGCTTTCCCCTTGCCCTTGTCGAGAGAGCAGCAGGGCGCATCTTTCCCCTTCAAACCTCTTAGCTCTGAGACTTCAGGTGCACATGCAGTAGGACAGGGGGACGGGGAAAGGGACACGACCTTTCTACCACATTTGTTTGGGATTTGCTCTCTCCCAGTTAGCACAGCTTCAGTGATACATTTCATAGAATAAATTCCTGTCCTCCCAGTAGCTCTGCAGGGTGCAGCTGGGCCTGCCGTACACAAAAAGGCCGACAGTTTGCCTGGACTCAGATACCAGGAAGTGAACGGCAACACTTACTGTGAAGTCCAAGAGCCACCCAAGACAGGTTCAGTTACCCCCAAACAATGCTGTGAATTCATCTCAGCTCCATATTTTGTCCCTGCCTGCCATGCATTCCCCTCTGCCCACAGAGGACGGGCTCAAAACATTGTTAAAGTGTAGATTGTGTAGACTGTAGATTCTCTCCCCTCGCCCACACACATGCTTTTACCTCTGCCCTTGCAGCTCTGTGCGTGGGACATACTGTGTCTCCTACAGGCTGCAAAACCTTCTGACTTCTGCAACACCCGTCCAGCAGCTGCTGCTCTACCAGCTCATCTGCTTCCTGTAGGTTGCAAGCCAGGCTCTGAGGCTCTCTCGCGAGCAGCTGGGCACCGAAGGGACGAGAGCAGAGCAAAGAGTGAGTCTAGTTCCCTTCTCTGTGCGCAGGCAGCGTAAGGGGCATGCGCACTGAGTGAGCAGCCACCATCCAGAGCAAAGCAGCCTCAGAGAGATTTTCAGGAACTGGGATTGGGGGATCAGCGAGTCACGAGGAATTTGTGAAATGGCTCAGGGAAGCTAAACCCCCCAGTGCACGAGAGGAGTAGTGCAAGCTGCTTAGCTGCAGACACAGTCACAGAGCTGCTGCACATGAGTCAGGGGACCTAGGGACATCTCTGCTGGGGAGGTGGCTGATGACAGCTTTGCAAGGTACAGCATAGCGATTGCAAATCCATTGGAGTAGAGATGCCCCTTTTGGGGTGTGACAGGCCCAGACTATGCGGATGGTGCACAGTGATTCTATTGGGGTTCAGGATGTGGGCGAGCTAATGCCTGCCCACATCTGAAAGACCCTCCCCCAGCCTACAGGGAGGGTCCAAAGAGCCCTAGACTCCAACTAATTCTGGGGGACAAAAAAAGGGAAAACAGGTAAAAGTGTGAGGCTCAAAGGGCTAAAACAAGGGAACCGGATGGGGGCACCGAGCAGAGAACCCTGGACAGAGCCCATTGCCCCTCAAAGTCCTCGAGAGAGCCAGTGAAACTCTGCCTGGATGCATGAACAGGTACAGGAGTGGAAATACACCCACAGTCACAGGTCCTTCCTTTAGCCAATGTCTGCTCCCTGGTCTTGTAAATGGCCATCTTGGCCGTAGCCAGGGGAGGTTGATAAGGAGGTCCCAGGACTTTGTGGGGCCACAAATGGGGTGTGCATAAATTAATAGGTGAGGGGAGAAGTGCTCATCAGCTGTCCGCAGCTTGCAAACCAGGAGGAGCCCAAAGAGGGGCTGTAACCTGGTGCACTCAAGGTCGACATGCACCAGGGTTTCCTTCATGCCACAGAAGAGGCAAGTGTCGGGAACTGGGGTGAACTGTGACAAGTACATGCTCATGCTCACAGCACCATGGAGACTTCTCCAGCTGATGTCCCCAGTGGGCTGCAGAACCAAGGTGGAATAGGGACTGGCCCACCGGGGTTCCCCACGCTCTGTTGGTGGTAAAAGGTCCCACCACTTGGTGTCTGGATGGGACACGAGGGTGGGAAAGGGGTGAGTGTAAAGCATGAATGTGTACAGATGGCTTGTTAGTGCTGCTGTTTGAAAGGGGACCTGCTGCCTCAGGTGATGCAGGGGAGGTGGTCAGGGAGGTATGTGGGGCTGGGGGCAGATGGAGAGATCAGGGAGTCAGGGATGAGGGGCAGGTGGGGTGCACCCTCTCATAGGACCCTGATTAGGAACATCCAAGCAGTGGGTGTCAAAGCATCCTTCACCTCTTGAAGTACAGGCCAGGGAATACACAGAATGGAGAGCTCCATGTGCTGGGCGAGCACCTGAGGATCCACCCAGTCTCCCTGGTGGTAATCCTGGAGGTCTCCGATCTTGGTGACTTTTGCCAGGACCAGCTTCTTGTGCACCGAGGGGGACTCTGCTGCCTGCACATGTAGATGGGGGTTGTGTAGCAAGGGCTCCACAAAGAGGTCTGCCCCCACGGTCCTCCCAAGGACTTGGTTGCCGCAAGCAACTTCCAGGCCTGGGGAAGGTCCTGGTAGAAGGTCGGCAGCTCGGAGAGATCTCGTGGAAGACGTCTCAGATAAAGGAGCTGCCAGTCATATCGGAGCCCTCGGAGGTGGCGAAG